CCTCTGCCTCTGCCTCTGCCTCTGCCTCCAGAGGACAGATCACTGACTTCTTTTGCAGAAGACCCAGGTTCAATTCTCAGCACTCATATTGCAGCTCACAACTGTCTCTAACTCCAGTTCTGTGGAATCCAGTGCCCTCTTCTAGCTGAGCACCAGGCATGCATGCATAGGCTACACAGACGTAAGTGCCGGCAGATACCCATCACATAAAATTAAATTCAAATTTTAAAAATTAAAGATTTTATTCTTATTGACGTGTATTTGTATATCTGTGTAGCTGTATGTCACATGTATATGAGCGTACGGGTGTCCATGGAGGCCAGGAAATGCGTCTCTCTTCCCAGAGCCGAGTTAGAGGTGGTTGAGAGCCACTTGATGTGAGTGATGAAAACCAAACTCAGGTCCTCTGAAAGGGCAGCCTGTGCTCTTAACTGATGAGCCTTCTCTCAAAACTATCGTTTTTGTTTTGTTTGTTTGTTATCTATTTTTTCTTTTAAAGATTTATTTATTTGTATTTTTAATGTGCGTGTCTTGCCTGCGTGTATAGTCTGTATGTCATATGTATGGTGTGCACTCTCAGACCAGAAGAGGGCATCAGATCTCCTGGAACTAGAGTTACAGATGATGGCTGCTGGGAATTGAACATGGATCCTTCGAAAGAGCAGCAAGAACTTCATACTGTTAAGTCATCTCTCAAACCCCTGATTTTTCTGTTTTGCGTATTTACAATCTTTTGAGAATTTCATACATGAGTCCTGCATTACATCATCTCCACCTCTTCCTCTCACTCCCAGCTCCTCCTGAGTTCCCCCTGCTCCTTCTCAAATTCATGACCTCTTCTCTAAATATTATTGTTACTTTATATACACGTGTGGCTTTGTCTATTTTACTTCGTTGTTGTTTTGAGACAGACTCTCTCACTCTATAGCCCAGGATGGCCTCAAACTTCCTGTTTCAGACAAAGTTTGACAACGTTAGAAACAGATGTGGAGATGGCTCAGTGGGGACCTGCATTTGAATCCCCAGAACCTGTATAAACCTGGGTGTGGTGCTGTGATGCTGTAATCCCAGTGTTTCAAGGAGAGATGGGAAGCAGAGTCCCCAGAAACCTTCAGGCCAGCAAGCCTGGCAGACGCAGCAGCAAACAACAGCGAGGTGGGCTAATGCTCTTGTTCACTATAAAGATTTGTCACTCATATTGGTTTACTAGAACACTGATTGCCAGTAGCCAGGCAGGAAGTATAGGTGGAGCTACCAGACCAGGAGAATTCTGAAAAGAGGAAGGAGAGAGAGGCACACAGTTGTCAGCTGGACGCAGAGGAAGCAAGATGAGAAGGCCTTACTGAGAAAAGGTACTAAGCCATGTAGCTAAACATAGATAAGAATTATGGGTTAATTTAAGTTGTAAGACTTTGTTAGTAATAAGCCTGAGCAATAGGCCAAACAGTTTGTAATTAATGTAAGCCTCTGTGTGTTTATTTGGGACTGAATGACGGCAGGACTGGGTAGGACAGAAACTTCTGTCTATACAACAGAGAGATGCCTCACACAAGGTGGGAGGTGAAACTGACACCCAAGGTTTTCCTCTCTGTCCATGTACTTGCCGGGTCACCAGCATGCCCACACTCACACACATGAACATGAACATGCACCAAAGTCCATACACATTGTAGACACAGAGACACACAAAGAAAAGCACCTGTTAATAACAGGTAAGAAACACACTTGGGTAGAGTTTAAAGAAAAGAAAGGTGATGTGGCCTCAGGAGCTGAAGAATACTTCCAGGAAGGGGTGATGCCCAAACTAATGAGATCAGATGATTAATTAAGGCTTAGACAGCAAGGGGAGAGAGGCAGCTGAAATGGGGAGTATGGACATGGGAAAGTGATGGAGAAGCCAGAAAGCTCACACTCTTCCTCTCCCAAGCTCAGAAGTCAAAGTCTTGACTTGGGGCAGAGTCTTGATTCCCTCTGGCTAAGATCCAAGAGGACCAAAGTGGGAGGCAGAAGGTCACCAGAACCTTCAGTTGCATGGGGAAATGATCAGTAGATTTCATGCCCCCCAGCAAGAGGTCTCAGGAATTTGAGGGTCAGCTCAATAGCCCAGGACTCAGTGGAGGTGACAGGGTGTGACAGCTTGGCTAAGAGACAAGAAACCAAAAAGCTATTAATACTTATTGCTTCAAGTCACAAGGTGAGGAAGTCTTGTGGGAGTCTACTGGTCTTCACATGAATAGAGGCCAGTTTGCATCCAGGGGCAGGATGAGGACTGGCTGGTTATGGGCAGCTAGTTACCTAGGAAAACCTAGGCCAGGGAGGGTGGTACACACCTGTAATTCCAGTACGCAGGAGTCTGAGGCAGGAGAATGTTGAGTTTGAAGTCTGCCTGGGCTATTTAATGAGACCCTGTCTCAAACAAGACACAAATAACTGGTCGTGGTGGTGAATGCCTACCATCTAGGATTCAGGGTGGAGGCAAGCAGATTGGGAGTTTAAGGTCGTTCTTAGTCATACATAGTGAGTTTAAGACCAATCTAATCTACATGAAACCTTATCTCAAAAACAACCAGAGAGGTGCGGGCCAGTGGTGGCACATGCTTTTTGTCCCAACACTCGGGAGGCAGAGGCAGGTGGATCTCTGTGAGTCTACAGAGCAAGTTCCAGGACAGTCAGGGCTATGCAAAAAAAATACTTGTCTCAAAACAAAACAAAACAAATAAACAAAACCCAAAGAGAAGAGGCCAGAGAGATGGCTCAGAGGTTAAAAGCACTGGCTGTTCTTCCAGGGGTCCTGAGTTCAATTCCCAGAAACCACACAGTGGCTCACAACTGTCTAGAGCCGGATCTGATGTCCTCTTTGCCATAAAGGCATACAAGCAAATAGAGTACTCATATGCATAAAATAAATAAATAAATCTTTAAAAAAGAAAAAACAGAGAAAAGAATGTCTTGGAAAGGGATATAAATCAGATAGGTATTTGGTTATCATGATGTAAAAAAAATGTGTGGTGAGGTAAGGAAGTGAGGATTTCTAATATATATTATTACATGTTATAAAACTTATTTTGGGTGTGTATTGGGAGGGGTGCATTCCACAGTGTGTATAGGTCAGAGGACACTTGTTTGAGTCAGGTCTCTCCTACCATGTAGATCCTGGTGACCAAACTCAGGTCATCGGTCTTGGCAGCAACCGCCTTTACCAGATGGGCTATCTGGTTAGCATGGGATTTCTGTTTTACTGGTAACATTTTAGGTCCTTGTTCTCAGCACAGGGAAAGGACAAATCTTTAAAATGAAAAGTCACAGCTCTTTCAGAATTTGTCTAACAGGTGTGTGGTTTATACCAGAAAGACCCCTACTTGCCCTGCTACCCTCACCTCCCCACCCTTGCAAAAAAAAAAAAGCCTGCAATGATAGATGTACCACTGTACGGATATATAAACCCTCAGCCGATGTTTATATATCTGTACACTTTATTAAAAGTGGCTGTACACCGTGGCCAAAACCTATAATCTGAGCACTCTGGAGGCTGAGGCAAGAAGATCATGAGTACCAAGCCAGCCAGATCTACATAATAAGAACCTGTCTCAAAGAGAGGGAGGAGAGCAGCTACATTATATTCCATATGTATATACAATGACTATGTGTCAGTTAAAAATAGGGGCTGCAGAGATGAGTTTTGCTGAGGGCTGGAGTTCCATCCAAAGCACCTACACAGTGGCTCACAACCATCAGTAACTCCAGTTCCAGGGGATCTGAGGCCCTTTTTCTGATTTCCTGAGATGCCAGACATGCACATGATTCACAGACATACATGCACACAAATACTTATATACATAATAAAATGAATAAATCTAAATATAACTCTATTTGATGCACAATGTTAAAATAAGTAAAATAAAAATAGATGGCTTTGCTGGGTAGTAATGGCGCACGCCTTTAATCCCAGCACTTGAGAGGCAGAGGCAGTCGGATCTCTGTGAGTTCCAGGACAGCCAGGGCTACATAGAGAGATCCTGTCTCAAAACAACAGCAACAATAATAGATGACTTAGCAAATAAAGTTTGATTCTCAGAATCAACATAAAGGTGGGAAAAACCAACTCCACAAAGTTGTCTTTTGCCGTCCACACAACTAAAACCATGCATATGCAATCCACATTCACACAATAAAAAATTAAAATAAAAATAAATTCAGAAAACTAATTTAGTTTCTTAACATTTTAGAAATCAACGTGGATGAACAAAGCTGTTGGGCTACAGTGATTTAGAGGCATCATATCCAGTCTATTATGTAGGGTGTGTGATCTGGGATCGATACTCTGTAGTGCTTGAGCTATTTTACATATAACAAGGAAAGAGCGAAGGACCTTAGCTTCAGGAAATGAGAGTAGGAGAGTGGGCAGG